TGAAAGGGAACTAATACTATCTTAACTAATCCAAGCTTCAATGCAATAAAGAGAACATAAGTGTCAACAGTATATGAAATTAATTATGAAACAAATTAAGTTTTAGTCGTTAGGCAGCTCTACTGAAGACAGTATTGTCATTATAGACCTTTTTCACACTTCGGAGTTCGAAAAGCAGAAGCTTCGAATAGTTGTGTAAAATAACTTCTGCTGTAACAGTGACAGTAATGCAGGCGTAAATTCTTTTACGCTACTAGTGGAAGCGACACGTGGACTGTGAAAAATGGCCTATTCAGCTCATTTCAGATTCAATGTTGATTCAGTTCAAGTTGATTTAGTACAATAACAGTGAATACAAAAGTGATTCAGTCAAGAGCAGTTAGTTTTTTTTTTTTTTTGATTTACATTAATGACACAAACATATATTAGGCTGCTGTCACTTTAAGACCTAATACATGGATCAAATAGAGACAATTTTCCCCCAATTGTTTACATTCACTTGGCTGGCAATGCTTACATAAATACTGCCTTTTTGTGTGAATTTGGTCATTTGTGCGCTCTGAAAAAGAACTCAATTCAGACAATGTGCAAGTACCTAATTGAGTTTTGTGTCTTGTTGCACTTGAGCAGTTTAAAATCGCTTGTATGTTTAAAACATACACAAATGCAAAATTTTTGTGATGATGCAGTGCTACAATATCATATTGCAATGTAACCGCGATAGAGACTGAAAAATAAAACTTCTAATGTTTTATCATGTCTGACAGTAAATCGCCCATTCCTACAAAAATGTATGCTGCGCTAAAATAATCTAACAAAGTTTTTCTCAACAGGACAGCAAAATAATTAAAAAAAAGCTTTTAAACTGTTAAAATGGAAGCGAAAACACATCTTTTGTTGATGACGTCGAATGTTGCGTGTCCAATCAAACTCTACACAATTTTTCTTTAAATTAAAACAAAACTAACCAAGGTAAAATAGAATATAATCAAGACGATGTTAAATCTGAAGCAAAACCAGTTTAGGCTCACTGATCTAACATACAGCCACCGATCCTCTTAATATTGCACTGCTGTATCTATCCCCCTAATTCTCCAGTCGAAAACCCTGCGAGTTTGACAATTTGTAATGATACAATATCAAATAGAAATAAACAGTGATACTGTGCGCCTTTTCACAGTCATGTGCTCAAGGACAAAAGTGAAATAAAAGGCTTTTCAGGAGCTGAATAACAACACAATTAGGGGTCCAACAGAAAAGCACCTGTACTTATAAGCGATTGTGCGTTTCGAGCCTTTCAGTGATAATCGAGACGTCATATTCTTTTCTTTTGAAAAAGTATATTTTGGCATTTTCCTGACAGATTTTTCCATTATTTCCTTAACCCCTGTGAGCATTTCAAAGTCAGAGCCGTAGGTGAGTGGAATTACAATCGCCGTCATCACTGCGAGGGCAATTATAGGCATTCAGTCTTAATGGCTGCAGGGGAGAAGCCTGAGCCTCGGTGGCGCTCACGAAGTCCACAGCAACAGAGGCAGAAATTGCTCTGAAGCGGCGCGAACCTACCAGCTCCGGTGGTGGTGACCAGCTTGGGTTTGCTGCGTGCCCCGTCGCCTTTGGTCGTGTAAGCGGCGACCGTAACCGAGTACATGGTCTCGGCATGCAGGTCAGTGAGGACTAACTCCTGGAGAAAAAAAAAAAACAAAAACAGCAGGACGTGAGTCATTAACAAAAAGCTTTTAAATCATTATAAAAAAAAGAGCTCAAGAATGTGTTTAAATGGCAGTATAAAAGAATAAAGGAAAATGGGCCTGTGCGCATTAGGACTCATTCACGAAGAGAATCAGTGTGCTTTGCTCCTCGTTTGTAAGTCGCTTTTGATAAAAGCATTTGCTAAATGCATAAATGTGTTTTTACAGGTGCAAACACACATGCATTTGTTCATCCCCTCATTCTAATGCCCATGATTATTTTAAATGCATGCATGTCCATAAGTAGTATTTAGCATAATAACTAATTATTTTGTTTAAATAAGAAATTAGAAAGCATTACTGCTGGGTCACTGAGTTATTCAGTTTCTTATGATGAAAATTTTCGATTAACATACTGCATGTGTCTGTGAGTTTGCATGCAAATGTGTGATTTAAGTTGTTTCAAAATTTCAAAATCAGGATTTTTGTGATAACATTCATATGCAGATATTATTCGCATGTATTGTTAATGAATGAGATGGCATCTTTAGATGGTTACGCAAAATAATATTAATAGGCCAGCGAGGAAAGGAAGTGTATGTAAATAAAGTGAATGTGCAAAGCTGCATAATTCTGTGATGTACTCACATGTTCGGCTGAATCATCGTATTCCCACTGAAGCCCAGACCAGAGAGCAGCAGGAGGAACAAACAAACAGACAAACAAGAAAAGAAGTTCAATTAGAGTTTGCTGGTGAAGACACGAGAGAGTGTCAGACGACGTGCGTCTCTTCTGTTTCGGTGAGCGAGCAGATGCTGGGATGATGATTGATTCATAATTCTGGAGGATTCAAAATCAGACGGGCCGATCTCATCACGCTGTCCATTGTCTAACATGAAGGCACGTATAATCAAGAATGTAACAGGTCTATGCGCTGTGTGTAATTCATGGCACTTCATCATTAACCTCACATGGGAAAATGAATGTCTAGGGAAAGCCTTCAGTCTTAAAGATATGACAAAAGGATACACAAACCTGTGCATGTCATAAGTATACACTTACGGCCTTCTTTCTTCCAGTTATTTCAGTCATTCAGTGAAAAATGACCCTTTGTATCCTTCAATAACTTACAGTATGTGCAAGCAAGGACTTTTACAATGAATAGCTGTGTGTTATTATAACACATTATTACTTTTTCATTTTAGTTTTAGTCTTCTTTGCTGTGCGTTCAAACTCGTGCTTCCTTGTTGTATTATCAAATATGCACAATTTAAAACAATTAATAAGTAAAATGAAACGAATATATTTATTCTGTGTCATAATCACATCATCTTTGCTGAATATATTTATTATTATAAAAATACCAACATTAAATTGTTTATCTAACAATTATATTTTATTTTTATAACATATAGTGAGCTGCCCTGCTGACAACACAATAATCAAATAAGCAATGAAAAAAATAATAATTGGGGGGGTAAATAAATAAAAAAAAAATTGGAAAAACCAGCTTGGATGTTTTTTTCGCCCTCTAATCATATGTTTTGAAATGCATTCTGGGATTGCCAAATTAAGCCTACTTTCTGGTAACTAGGTAGGCAGCTCGCTAGTTTGTGAAAGAGTCCTAAACTTGAATCAAAATAGTTGGCAGCTGGCTGTATGAACTCTCATAACCACAAAATTTGTCAAAGCTTGTAAAGATTGACTTGAGAAGCGGTGCAGCTGTGCAGGTGGGTGCCTACCTGAGCGTCATCGATCAGGATGTCCTTGATGACAGGGTGACCACCGGGTTCTCCATTAACCATCCTGACATAGTGCACCTGGTACCCACGGATCTGGCCGTGCTGCCTGCTCGGCACCGGCGACCGCCACAGCACTTTAACAGACGTGGAGTTGACAGCCTCCACCTCGACTTTACGAGGAGGGCCACTGGGCACTGAGAGAATTATGGGATAGAAGACAGAAAGGTCAAGCTTAAAGGCGACACCTCCTGTCCGACTGGACGTCTCCCCTGAGAAAGCGGTGAAGCAGACAAAAATCTACAAAATGGGATTATATCATTAACAAGAACTGGATAACACTAATATCTCAACAATGGGAAGTCAAAAACAAAAAAAAGAGAGAGAGAAAAAAAAAACAAAAAACAAAAACAATCCCCAAAAACAGGTCATACAGCCGACCTAATTTTTTTTCTGAAAAATGGGTTTAGTGGAGTCAAAATATGGAATAAAAACAAGCAAAAATAAGCCAAGAGGAGTGTTTCAGGTTTGAAGCACTCCAAAGGAGTTTGGCTATGATAGAGTGAAGACAAAAAGAAAAACAAATGGACAAATTTAAGAAAAAAATGTCATTATCGTGGGACGTTTGAGAAAAAAAGCCCCATTTCTGAAGATTCACTCTCGATTTAGTTGTCTTTTTTCATGTATGAAAATGAGTTTCACTCCATTAAAAAAGCCATTTAATTTATCTTAATAAGACAATGGGGAAAAAACAGCAAGCCATTTGGGATTGTTAGAAGTTTAAGGTCGTCAGAAGAACATGCCATGAAATAAGTCTGGTCAAGTAAAAAGTCTGAAAAATTCTCTCGAAAATTCTCCCAAAAATTGCCAAAGGGGGACAAATGTTGGTTCGGTGAAAAGTCACAAAAAATCCTGGTTAGTAGAGTTAGTGTAAATAGAGGGAGCGAGAGGGGTGAGGGGTGTTAGGGTGCTTTGTGCAGAAGTCTGGCAGAAGTGGGGCGTGTTTTAAGGGTAGACATTAGCATTGGGTCACAGTGGCGTGTGAGTAAGACATACCATCCTCCTCCGTACGGATTAGCTGAGGTAAACTCTCAGGGCCTTCTCCTGCTTCAGTGTGGGCGCTCACTGTCACACGGTATTCCGTCCATTTCTCCAAGTTTTCCAACAGATAATGGTACTTTTCTGGCGGTATGTCCGAGACTTGATGCAACGAGGTATCGTCGCCTTCGGTCGCCGCGTACTGGATGGTGTATCTGGTCATGATTCCATTTTGGAGCTCCACTGGCGGCGGTTTCCAACTTACCAGAATGCTGGTAGAACTGGGACTAGTACACTTGACTTCCTGGGGTGGAGCTGAGGGCTCTGATTGGAGGATCAGAGGATTGTGGGAGGAGCAGAATAGTCATTGAATTGGATTTGAGTGGTTTTGGAGTTTGGTTGGATCCAGGTGAGGTTCACGGGGGTTGAGGTAAGAGGATTTTTTTTGTTTTTGTGGTGGAGGTGGAGATGATGTTGATGATGGACAAACAAAAACAAAAAACAAAGGGAAAATAAAATGACATCAAATGAGGATGAATCACAGGGACTACATTTATATATATATATATATATATAAAAAATAAAAAAAACGATGACATGAAAATAAATTTAATGAAGCTTAAAAAGAAGAACAAAACGGGCAGAGATGTCACAGACTTCTCATAAGGAGGTAGAAAACATAAAACAAATTCACAAATTGTGCAGGGTGGGACTGGTGCAGACCCTGAAGCGACAGAACCTACCTTCGTAACTCTACTTATGTCATTTTCCCCCTAAATAACCTAAATTCAGGGCTCAGATTTCAATTGCTCTCGTCATACGTCAACAGCACTGCGAAATATATAAATGAGCTGCGTTTAAATCGGGCCCTGTTTCCTCCAAGCAGTTACCATCAATCCAAAATTTCAAAGGTTGATGTGTCAGCTCTGTAAAAACAGAAAATGCATTGCTCACCAACCTTTCCGAGGCCTGTTGGTTTGAGGTAAAAGCCTGGTTGGTCCAAGAGTTCCTGACTGACGTTTCTAGACTTGGACATGCAAACACTCTACCGCAAAAACAGCCCTCCAAGATACTTACCTGGCATGTACTCAGAGGACCTCAGATTTATTCAGATTGTCTCAAATTGTGAGTACGAAGTGAAGCACAGTCATACATTATTTATGCATCAAATTATGCGAAATTAATGAAGGATTTGATCTAAAGGTTTGGTTACAGTTCAACTTGAACGAATGAAGAATAAATATGAGGTCTTTTGGAATGCGATTCTCTTTTCTAGCTACATATCATTGCATTTGAGCTTACAACAAGGCTCCAGAGGGAACCTTTCCAAATTTGGTAAATCTTTCAAATGCAGTGTGGTATACAATAGCCAAAGTCAAAAAACAAGGCACGGCTGCAGCCAAACAGATGAATAATTCAGTCTCATATCTTACTTGGCTAATAAATGACTCCAAATTGAACAAAGTGACCTTGTCATTTGACTACATCTTCCACCAGTTGCCTTTCATTCAAACAAGACGTTCGCTAACATCGCCCTAAAAGCGGAGAACAGAAATGCCTCCATCTCTCAAAAAAATCTCTTTGTAAAGCACTGCTCAAACAAATTCAGGATTACATTAGCAAACGCTGTTGAGAAATGGAGGATTTCTGCTTTGTTAAGTGCTGCGCCTGTTCTTGAACCGCTGTGTTTGGGAAAGACAGTAAAGACAGAAAGGGACCTACGTGTCTGAGGCGTTTCGGCTGAGATCTCGTTGGTGTATGCGCCAATGCCGTGTTTGCTGCGAGCGGCCAGCTGAAACGTGTAGGTAGTGAATGGCTTCAGATCTTTCAGTAAATAGGTTGTGGTGGGCTCAAAGCTTACTCGTTTCTGAGGAAGGGACAAGGAATAGAGTTTGTACAGTCAACCTGAGCAATGACAATGACATCAATTCTGCGACTTAGACGAGTGAAGACATTTGCCAATGACAGTTCACGTTCAGACCTCCTCTTTGTCATCTCCTTTCTTATAGAGCAGCTCATATCCGATGATTTGATTGTCCTGGCCCGTCTGAGTCGGGGGGTTCCACGACAGCAAGATGCTCGTCTCAGATTTGGCTTCGCCTTTGAAGTCCGTTGGTTGAGAGGGCACTATAAAAATGTTATAATAAACAACAGAAGTGATACAAATTATAATTTCCATCACATTCATTTCTCTTCATGTTTGTATCTTGGGAATGCATTAGTGGACAAGCTTAGTAACTCGAGGTTCATAACAGATTCAATGTATGAATAAAGCCCATTCAGTCATCCAATCCAAACTCAAGATTTTCATAAAGTGCTTTTACCACGATGCCATTCATCTGCTAAGGATCATCTGATCTTTTGCTTTGTGTCTACTAAATTACAAATTAAAACAGAAAATAAATCAAATGAAGTAATTCATTCAGGGGCTTATGCAAAAATACACATTACATACATTAATGACATTAAACGTTTTTATGTTGAATTTCCAGCAAAAAGAGCCATAGTGTGATATAAAATTATTCATGACGCTATAATAAGCTTCTGACTCTAACATATATTATGATTCCATTTAAACAATATTTAAAATCCTGCAAAAAGTAAACAACAAGAGCTGTTATTCCTGTAATTCCCAACACCCACCTCCAGTTTTGGCTATGATCTGCAAATCAGAAGAGAGCGGTCCATCTCCTACAGAGGTGAAGGCCAGGACCTTGATGTAGTAAGTCTTATTGGGCGTCAGGCCGGGAATGGTGAGGAAGTTGGAAGTCCTTACAATCTGTTTCTCCCATTGGTTGACATGCTGGCTGGGATCGGTGGTGTAGTAAACTCTGTAGCCTGTTATCTGCCCATTTGCCTCCTCGGGTTCATCCCAGTGGATGATGGCGGTCGTTGCACTTAGCATGCGCCCTCGGACTTGCCGTGGGGCGGTACTCGGCGCTTGCTCCGCTGTTTTGGACTCAATGGCTTCGCTGGGAGGCCCGCGTCCAATGTTATTCACTGCGACTACTCTGAATTGGTAGTCGGAGTAAGGGCTTAGCCCACCCACGCTGTATCGAGTGGTGGCAACTCCATCGATCTCTTTAAAAGAGTCCTCAGAGTTTTTGGGCTTGTGCTGGATGATGTAGTAAGAAACAGGTTCGGGATTCCCAGAATCCCATGTGAGCGTAATGCTTGTTGCTGTGCGTTCTGTTACCTGGAGAACACCTGGTGGCTTCGGTAAAGCTGGAGCAACAATGAAGAAGCTCATCAGTGTATTTCAATTATTTGGAAAATGGAAAATCCACTGTAATTAGTTACTTGTGATTACTGGAGCAATAATAATGATTGTAGGGGAAAATCACTAAAACTGAATGGTGCCCGTTTTAGTGCATGATTCAATACAGGAAATATCCAAATCTGCCTACTTTTTCCCTGAGGTGCATTCTATAATGAGCCTAATTTACTTACAAAAGGTGGCATTTCAACACTTTTAATGCCTGGATTGCAAATGGTTATTGAAGATGCATTGAAAAATGGCACAGCACGTGCACGTATCAGTTTAGTGAATTCTCCCCTCACTCTCAAAGGACATAGACATTTCTAAATATTTGAAAACTAGCAAACAGGTGTGAAATGGCTATTCTCCTGGTTTAGAGGAAATTTCTTTGTTGTGTGTGCTATTGTATTGGTAAGCTAAGCAGTTTGCTTAGGTAAGCTAAGCAAAGCACATGTGGCTTTGTCATTAGCATTCACGAACCATGTGCTCTTCCCTTGGGATACTAACCGAAGGTTAAAGTGTCAGCTTGCTCTGCCAACACAGGAACAGTAGATGTGGGTTATAGCACTGTTTGCCGCTAATGTAATACAGCAAAAGAGCTCAGAGTCTTGACAGTACCTCCGCGATAAGGAGAAAACCAAGTTACCCCAGAGGAAAGAGAGGCTCTATGGTTTGTTTATAACATGTCTTAAATATTCCACGGGCTGTAATTTATTGCTTAAATTCAGAGCGCATTAGGTGAGGCTGGCGATAGGACAGATAGTGTTTAGTCTTTGCGTGCTGTCTCTTGGAGCATATTATGACTAATGTGATTTTGTTATGTCTGCTGGAGACAAAGGCTTTGTGTGTGTGGATGTGAACAGCTGTAAGTGTGTCGGCCTGTTTGAGCTAACAAGTGTGCCAACAGTAGGAGCTTGTGAATTCATCTGCAGAATGTGATAAGACAGATCAAATAACAGGAGCTTGGTGCTGGTTGGAATGTTAAGTTTCGAGTCGTCTCGTGGATTCTCACCTTTGACCGTAATCTGTGCGACCGCCTCTATAACGCCCAGCGTTGACATGGCGACACATGTGTAGTTGGCCGACTGCCGGACGTCAGTGAGTTCCAGCACGTTTCGCCCAATGGGCATGTCATCTTCAGGGGTCAAATCCTCCGACCCCAACATCCATTTAACGTAGGGCATCGGTGACCCGACGGCCACACAGGTGATGTTAACGCTGCCACCGGGCATGATCTCATTGTCCGTCGGGGGAATGGAGAACCGGGGTGGAACCCGTCTCACTGCAAGAGAACACAAGTCCTGGTAACTTCCCATACAGACTTGCCGAAGGAACATTTGAGAACATTTAACAGGTGATGAACTGACAAAGATCTGGTGGATTTCACCGCTACACTGTTTCAAATGATTGAGATATAGCAGGATCCAACAGGAAACTATTGCACATGTAGAAGACACAAACATTGCGCTTCACTCCTGTTGGACTGGGACACTGAAACAGATGCCATGCACAGGTGACCCACGCGTGACAGACAGACAGCAGCACACGGGGGAACTGGAGGGCCACAGCATGCAGGAGTTGTGTCCGTTTGTACAACTTCGATGCTGCGTTCTCTTCCAGTTGATGTAAAGGAATGTGCCGGATCACATTGCCACATCACACACACGGCGACAGGCCCGCCGCTAACTAACAACGGGTAGAGACTAGCTGTGACTGTCTGCGGCTGCCATTCCAAAAGTGGACACATGTGTCAACGGAGACGGTGGTGAAACAGTGAATAAACAACGAAAGTATGAATCTGAAACTGAATCGAAATGAAAACGAACAGATGCAACAAAATAATAGATAAACCCTCAATGCAAATGGGGCATAGTAGAGTCAGATAACAGAAAATCAACAGGGTTATTAAAAGCAGGAGTCTCCAAGACAGAAAGAGAGAGAGAGAGGGATACTATGTGCCAGCTCCTCAGAAGAGGGTTTACGGGACAGCAGAAGGGTGGGAGAAGATTCAAGAGTTCAAAATAACTGAACCGATGTCAGTGTTACTGCTTAAATACTGTCAGTCTCAGACGGCACCGGCTGATGTATAATGCACACAACAGTGGCAGGAGCTTTCTCAAAGCGACAGATCCACCGGCTTTACGCAGCTTCAGGGAGTCAGTGTGCAGCAGCTTATATCAGTCCTGCTACAATGAGCCCATCTGAGGACGACGGATCACTGGATTTGACAAAGTTTGAGAGGTTCATCATAACAAATCTCGCAATATTTTTGTAGAGATTCTTTGGGACATTTGGTGGCAGCGCACTAGATCAGTGCTTCCCAAACATGTTCCTGGAGGCACACCGACAGCACACGTCTTCAAACACATCTCCAGTTCTCTTTAGAGACTCCAGGACCTGAAATGGTTGGGTCAGAGAAGGGAGATGTCCAAAATATGTACTGTTGGTGTGCAACCAGGAACAGGGTTGGGAAACACTGAAATAGGTCTCTATGTTAAGAACATAACACTCCACTAGGGAGGGGTTCCTCGAATCTGGACCACTGATCTGCAGAGTTAGATTTTAACCCCAATAAGACAGCTAATTAAAGTCTTCAGAGTTACAGGTAGGTGAGTTTAATCAGGCTTTGAGCTAAAGTCTGCAGGGTCAGATTAGAGGAACTCTACACTATGGTCAGGGTTAAATCCCATTTGCCTGCTCCTATTCGTCACAGGATCTTCATTATATCACTTGAAATTAAAATAACAACAGGATGGACCTAAACCAACGTTTAGTGAGGAGTTGAAATCTCTTTAAGTCTCTGTGTGAAACCACCAGAAATGGAGGAAAAAGAAGGAAATATAAGAATTTCGACGACGTGCGGCACGCATTCGACCAGTGCTTCTCTGGAGATGAAATCTCTAATCATTGTGAACAGATTTTCAATCCTATTGCAATTAATTTCCAATTGAAATGCTGTTCCGGGAGACATTATGTTTTCCCTTTCATCTGAATAGCTTTCCGTTTGTCGAGTCTTGAGAACAACGCTCTACATGCATCAACTGTCGTTTATTAGCAGCTCGTTAGGTGGAAAGGAAAGAAAATATCTGATCTCACAGAGCTACTGAGCACATCTCATCGCAGTTTGTGCCGTGGTGAAGGTCAGCAAATGGGATTTTTTTCTAGGCGTTAGGAAAGCACGTGTCGGTCAAAGTAACGAAGCAGGACCACTGACATGTGGGAGAAGACAGACAACTTCAGCATGACCAATCCACCATGCAAACCCCCCGAAAACTGCGCACATTTTGACTGACATGCACCACTTTTTGGTCAAGCAGTACAGCGGAGAGCAGGAGAGCATTCGTTCAGACCACAACAAAAGGGAAAAGAAGAAAAAACGGTCCAAAACATAGAACATAAGGAACCAAAAGCAGAATTGAATCATAGACACGCCAATGCAGCTACAATCATTTTTTCATACTCTTGGGAACTGTGACTAGCGTCTGTATCATTTGTTTTCTGAATTTAAAGATGGTTAGAAAGAAAAAAAAAAACACACCAACCTTCTCGCAGCTCTGAGGGATGTAGGGAATTGATGCGGAAACAAAATAAAATGAGGAGAAAAACAAGGGAAAATACAGAGAGAGTAAAACAGGCCACATTCAACCCAGAGAATTGCTGCTAGAGACAGAATGTCTAGGAAAAGAAAAGTGTGCGGCATTTTACAAGCCTTTTATTGCGCTGCCCATTAAACAATATGACACAGGTCCAGTTATGAGCTTTACATGCCATCAGCAATTACTGCAGTCGTTCCTCTGGAGTTTTGTTCATAGAGCCTTTGAGAAACATACTTTGGTTTTTCATGTAAACCACATGACTGGGACCTGTGCATGAATACAGCCGCAGTATTTAAAGCAGTAACATGTTTGTCTGAGCAGCGCTGGACATCAGGCCTGCAAGGTTTATAAAATGGAACATATTTTATGACAAATTTAGGCTTAAAGTCAACATGAAATCATAAGCACAGTTTTCTGACTAATATGGGAGATTCAGCGGCTACAGAGCGCAGGTGTTTTTAAGTTTGTACCAACCAATCAGTTCCTTATGGATGAAATAAAAAAAAAAGAAAAAAGCTTTTTATATGAAATATGTCTCACTATCAAAGTAAAAAGGGTTGCGAACACAGTTTCATGTTGACTTTAATGTGCCAGATTATACAGATGTTCCATCATAAGTCAGTATCAAAAAAAAAAAAAAAACCATTTTATATTTATACAGTGGAGTAATTCTTCACTTAGGGGACCTTCTGATTGCTTGAAAAAAGAAACAAAAATAATTAAATATTTATTTCACCTTTTAATGGATTATTTCTGAACTAAAGTTCTCAAATAGTGGCCAATTAGGTAATTACATCTAATAAAGTTACTCTCTGATGTAAAAATCTTAAAATTAATAACATTTCAAAACGTCACTTCTCATTTCCCAGAAAACCACATATAAACCCAGATATATGACAGCAGCATTGAGTCATTCTATTGCAGCTCTCTGACATAATTAATTTCAGGCTATGATAATATCTCCATTAAGACTGCAGTCTTTTTTTTTTTTAACTAACACTTTATTTAATCATCTTAGGGACAGAAGTGTTCACTTAATTGAAGAAGCCTCCATATATATTACCAGTGTTGGTAATAAATGCATTACAATATTGCGTTACTCCATAAAAAAAGTAACTAATTACGTTACTTAGTTACTTTTTATGGAAAGTAATGCGTTACTTTACTAGTTACTTGAAAAAAGTAATCTGATTACGTAACTCGCGTTACTTGTAATATATTACCCCCAACACTGTATATTACATCATAGGCTTTTACACTACATTTCAGACTAAAGATCCCACTGAATACAAAATAAGATTATACTGTAAAAACTGACCACAATTTATGTTAAGTTAAAAAATATATATATATTTTTTTTATTTTGCTCTAAAATAAATTCAGATAGATTTATTCCATATTTGCGAGTAAAGAGAGATGAAAATC